TGTTTTGTTGTTTGCTCATTGTTTGTTGGGTTTGGTTGTTCTTTCCACCAATTTAGTATCTTGACTTTAAATTCCTAGCATGGATCAATTACCAGAGACAAGATCCTATATTTTCTGTACTGCAGCTCAGTATTGTAATAATTTGTAACATAGGCTGTCGGGGGGAAAAAAAAAAGTATAAGTACAAGTATGAGCAAATTGAACTTCACGTGTAAAATTAGTGGAATCCAGATTCAAAACTTCCTCATATGTGATAATTAAACCAGCAGAATGTAGAAAACACCTGAGCTCATAGATTAATTGTAGCAACTGGACTTGCTGTAGTTCCTTGAAGACGTTCCACCTCTCATCCAAGAGGCTTCATCAGTTCTGACTGACAAGTGGGGAGTTCCAGATACTGATATCCTTAAGGAGCCACTAACACCTTTCGGCTTCAATTGGGGGTTTGTTGCTCCTCGCCCTCATTATGTGAGTCGTTAGTGCTCCCCCTGTCACAATGGGGGTCGATAGGGTCTTTTGTGGCTAGGTGTGAATGTGGTTTCATCTTCTTGAGGAGAGATCTTAGGTCTGAATTGTAAATAGGTGAGAGATGACGCCTCAGACCTCCACCTCTGTTGAGGGACGGTCTTTCCACTTTGACACCAGATGTGAACCCCATTATGGCATGGGGGAGTACTAACGACTCACATAATGGGGGGGGCCAACAAAGCCCCAGACAAGCCGAAACTCAGGTGTTAATGGCTCCTTAAGGATATAAGTATCTGGAACTCCCAACTAGTCAGTCAGAACTGATGAAGACTCCTGGATGAGAGAGAAAACGTCTTCAAGGAACTCGAGCAAATCCAGTTGCTACGATTAATCTACCAGAATAACCATAACCTGGATGACTGAGAAACTTCACAGACAAAACACCTGAGCCTTTACACTGTATGTATAGTGTTTGTATGGTGCTGTTCTTTTGGTAATATTTTGCCTAACAAGGTCAACAAGATTAGATGGTTTTCTGTTTTCCTACGTGCCCGTCACTTCGACCTAATGGTGCGCAAGAACCTTTTTGAAGCTTCGAAACTTACGGCTGACTTCTTGGACGTCGACGTGCGTGCACTGACTGGCATCTGTCGTCTTCAGCTCCAGAGAGACTGTGATCCCAGTAGATGCCTTGTAGATGAGGGTCACCAGGGTCTTCATTGCCAGAGGTACATGGAGGGAGAAGATCCTGACAGACACATGAAAAAAAGCACACTTCCATGTATGAAAAATAAACAAATAAAAAAAATCAAAAATGTTGAACAGAAAAACACGCACTCACTTGGCACAAACCGGAGTGACGCGAGATGCAGGGATGACTCCGTCCACCAGCAGCGAGCAGCCTCCGTTCCAGGCGTCCTCTGGGCAGCCGCTGGTCCTCAACCAGCCCTGGGCCTCCAGGTTTTGGTGGTAGTACAACGGCTGGATCTCCTGTGCTGTCAGGTTGAACCAGCTCCTCTTTGTCTCAGGCTGCATACGCGCAAAACAAGACTGCACTCGTCAGTGAATACAAACTGGAAACTCTTTGTATTTGATTGCGCAAGTGTAAAAATAAACAAAGCAGTTTTATCAGATTTTACTCTCAAAATAACCAGCAGGTCTGTAACAGATGACATGTAAAGGCATCAGAGAGGTGGTTTTGTGGCTCAAGGCCATGTGGTGGTTTTTGAACAATTAAATTAACTGACAGGCAAAACATACATGTAAAGATTGTCACATTTGTTTAAAATTATTAAACTTCAACTGTTCTACTAGTGTCTATTAACTATATTTACTTGGTCCACAGTCTGAAAGGATTAACATTATTGCCTAAAACAACTTAAAGCACTGGGACAAGGATGATGCAAGGAACAAAGGCCTAGATGGTGAAAATGCATTTTGTTATTTACAACTCTTGTATGGAGATGCATCATATATAGAGGAGACATTATGCAAATCATTATACAACATTTGGTTTACTATCGAGGCTGGACTTATGAAGGCATACTACAAGTTATATCTCAGACAGATTTCAGCCATCTTGAGGGTTCATTTAGTACGAGATGGGCCACATAAAAGTGTCACAATCTGTGTTTGCTCATCATACTGGTCCCTCTAAGATGATGCTTCCGATACATCCTGTATAATTTCATACTCTACTTGGGTGGGTTGTAGCTGAGTTGTGAGTGCAAAGCTAGTTGTTAGCACTTAGGTGATCAGATTCTGAGAATAGACATCTCAGGGCTATGTCTGTTTCTATCACTCTGTTTCCGCTGCTGATTTAATCAACAAGAGCAAACTAAACACTGGGAGAAAACACAAATCGCACCAAAAGGTTAAACTAGATATGCATAAATTTGCTGTAGCTACATAGTGGGATTTCTGTTGTCGTTGCTGTCCACAGCTGCTTTACAGAGTATAAAAAAGCTTCTCCTGCAGTTCATTTAATCCCATCAGCCATCTGAAGTCACACACAGCCGGCATCTGTGTTTACTTGGCTTATATCATGTGCAAGTGACTGATCGTATCAACAGATATTCTGCCTGTGGAGGTGGAGGTGTCGGATTTCTCAGTTCACTGCTTTGCCTTATGGCCTATAATCCTTTCTGTTAAAAAATAAAAAATAAATACCGTAATGTTGTACTCCGTAAATGCCGCTGAGTCACATTTTATATCATTATGTAATATTTACAACTTTAAAAACAGCAGAATTCTCACAGAAGCAGTGTTGATATAATCATATAAACTGCTTCATCCGTAGTACGTATATTTATGTTTACTTCTATCAACCCCATCTGACTCTGGCTTTAGGTTTGTAGCCTTTTAACACTGTGTTTCTCTGCACCTTCCCTACAACACTTTTTCATTTGTTTAGCCGTTGTTGTCGTGCTGCATTTGTTGAGCAGTTTGCAGGCTCTGAGACCAGCAATACGACTGACCGAGAGTGTCAATATAAGTCACTAAACTAAAAGATGAGTGCAACAATAAAAACACGATACAAGATGGAGAGAGACAAATACTCCAAATGAATTCATGACTTGATCTTGACAATAATCTAAAGCACTGCAGTGTGCTTGACTACTCAAACCTTTTTCTACATAGGGTTAATCAAATATCTGAGGTTTCTTGAAATATTTGTGGGGAAAACTGATGAGCACTGGCATGTAAAAGCAGAAATGATGAGAATAATAATTTTCCTCCGTCACGTCCTCCATACCTGTCCTCTCCAGTAGAGAGTCTTCCCAAAGCCCTGGCAGAAGGAGGAGATGAAGGGGAGCGGTGAGGCTGGCCGGTGGACGTACAGGTAGTTTGACAGAAGAGCCCAAAACCTGCACACACAACGAACCCTCTCAGTCTCAATATTTGTGAACTACTTGTATTTTTCACAGTGTAAACGTTGGTCTCACTTGTCTTGATTCTTGCGGAATTCACTCTTATTTTCGTGGGTCTCGTACACCCAGCCTGGGGCAAAGATGGCTGTAGAGAAGTTGTGCTTCCGAATGAGTTCCAGGGCCTGTGGACAACCCAAACCAGACGCTGTCAATGACCTCACAACAATAACCCTCATTCAAAAACTGTCCACAGTGTTACCTTATTTGTTTCAAACATTCCTCCCACCACCTGTCCTCTGGCAAACACGTCCACCCCGACATAGATGTCGGCCTGGCGGCCTTGAGCCCCCGAGTAGTCCTTCATAAATTCCAGGCTCTGCTCTGTCCAATTGTAGTTGGTGAAGAAACCATCGCAAGCATCAAAAAACATCCTGTAATGAAGAGATTGAAATGGTTGAAGCAATATTTGGTACAGGAATTGACAAATATTTAACGTCATCAATGTATCTGAATGGATGGACACATTTCAATAGTCAATCACTTCATTCTTCTTTAGTTCTTTAATGAATTTTTTACTTTTCAAACCACTGACAGATTTTAGTTTCAGGCTCACCTGCCTGGTTGGAATTAGTTTCTGAATGGATGGCATCAGAGATATATTTTCTGATTTCTCTACCTGTTGGTTTGGTTGAGTTCATTCTGCCATTTCAGCTGTCCGTTCTCAATCACGCTGTCGTACCACATGACCAGGCTGCCGGGCACTCGCTCATGCATCTGGTCAGTCAGATAGCGCAGGAACAAAGGAGTGTTCTTCACCGCAACCTCCTGCAAGCAGATGGCAGCACACTTGATGCGTTTGCTAGAAGGAATCACCAGTCTTCATTCACTTCAGTTCAAACTATAATACTCACTCGTAGTTTGACCACTTTTTTCCTAAAATAAACAGTCACATCATTAGATTAAATTAGATAGAACTTTGTTGATCCCTTTGGTAGGGTACCTCAGGGAAATTGTTGTTCTAGAACCAGCACAGCACCAACAGAGACAGTAGCACACATCAATTAGGGAAAAAAAGCAGTAAACAAGGAAAGAAGGGAAAACAAATTGTTACTTATTATTTAATTATTACATATGACAGAAAGTGAATATATCACAGTTCAGAAGTGTTTCAAAGCGCCAGATGTAAGTGAACGTATCATAGTAAACACTGAACTGCCCTTTGTTTAATAGTTTGACTTTGGCTTGATATCAAAGCAGCCAATGCAGGTACTGCAACTGCACTCAGTGCCAGTTCCTTATGACAGCGTTATCAGATTGTGCTTTTAATGAGGAAGCAACATAACAGAGAATTATAGCTGAGCTGTGAGCTGCTCTCAGAACATCTTTACCAGTAAAACTATTCACCACCTTGTGCACTCAATGAGCATGTTTTTAAGAACATTCCTCAACATGGTGGAAGCCAATGTGATTTCTGAGATCACATTTTTATCTGTTCTGATATTAGACGTGAACATTGGCCGAAGATCCTGCTCGATTTCATGCTGCACTGCTGCCACCTGATTGGCTTATTATATTATTGCATAAATCATCAGGTGTACAGGTTTTACTAACTGAGTGTTTGCTGAGTGCTCTGGTGCACTATAATACAATATATCTTCCCAATTATTACTTATTTATTTATCACATCTGCAATGAACAGCTACTAATAATAACAGCCAGCAAGAGCAAGAACTAACACCATTTTTTTCGTCTATATATCGTACTGCAAAAGTTTTCTTGTTCTTTTTAAAAAAAATTATTTTCGACTGTATTTTTTAATAGACACAATACAGACTATGTCCAGTTTTCTTTATCTGAACAACCGATTTATTCACATTTTTAAAAAGAAGCAATCCACACTATGTTGGTTTTGTGAATTTAAAGGCTAGGAATTTATAAGCTACAAAGAGGCTGTCATCCAAACAATAAGTGCACTGAGGCTGATTAATGTGTAATCATGTAAAGGTGAGTAGCAAGCGGTGTTGATGTGAGGGGCAGTACAGAAGATTTACTCACACTGAGGACGTTCTCTATGTTAACGAGCCATCCATCAAAGCCGTAACAGTGGCTGATCTGCACTAATTTATCGGCCACCGCCCGGTACGACTCCTCGTCTTTAAAGAAAGCTTCACACATCGCGGCTCCATCAGTCCACTCTGTGATGAAAGTCCCTGAAAAGTAGGCAAAACACAGCACAAGGTTTTATATTTCAGAGAAGATGTGAAGACAAGAAACCAGTTAGGAACTGAATTTGTTTTGCCATCAAATTGTGATCTAAGTCCTTTTCAGACCTTGACACTATTTTAGAAATACTTGTTCAGGAATACTGAACTGGACCTGTCTCTGTTTATTGTGGCCTTTTACTTACCAAGAACGACCACTCCGTGTCTATGTGCGGCGTTGGTCCAAACGACAGGAGGAATAGTGACCAAGAGGTGTGAGAAGTAGTTGAAAATATCGATGTATTGCCAGTGGTAGAAGGCATATGGAGCCTCAGTGTGGGTTCCCTGGATAAACCTTGAAAAGAGAAAAAAGCACATTAAGGCATGATGGTGTATGGATGTAAATGCAGGCACAAGATAAATAAAGGACAGTCAATTATGGACCCAAACCAAGTTAGTATTCAAACAAGCTTAAAGTGCAGATTAGGGCTGTTTTGCGAGTCATGTATAAGTATGGCAAATTATAGTATGTACAATACATGGTATAGGTTGGATTTTTAAAATATATTTCAGTTGATAACTGGCCAAACACACAGGATTTTATGCAAAATCCAAATGTATGAATAGAGTTGTTTTTATGTAACACTAGAACTTGTGGTATTCATCAACTTTCACATGCTGAGACTTTTCTATAATTCAAAGAATCATAAGTGATCTCTACAACTAGTGTGTGAGTGTCACACGCTCTACGTTTATCCTGAGGTGGGGAAAAAAATGCTAATTTAGACTGAAAACATAATGTATTAAGCCTCGATTAATTATGAATGCCACAGACACACAGCTGTCACTTTTCTACTTTTCTAGTTCCGTTGTAAGGATCAGTTGCGTTCATGCACAGTAGGTCAGCGTTTACATTTCATGCATGTGCTCTACTGCTGAGCGTGCACACTGCTGCACTTGTAGCGTAGTGACCTTGTGGGCTGCACGCTGATATCCACAGAGGTGCCAACACATAGTCTCACGGACTTGGGCAGATGATGAAATTACATCGCTACGATCCTGGCGAACCTTTGAGTATTCACAAATGCGGAAAGTATAACACTGGCCTTAATCTAAAAGAACCGGTGTGTAACTAAGATGTCATATTTAATGTCAATTATTATGACTTAAAAAAAAAATAAGTATCTTATGTAACTCATTCAGGTTATGTGCATTGTGTTGCTTAATATCATTGACACTGAACATACTCGTAAAAAAAGAAGTTTTATAAGGAGATAAGGAAGAATAACAATAAAAAAGGGTAAAGGGTAAATGCTACCAGATCATTTACAAGCAGGCTGGTGTTCCTTTGACCACACCTGCCAACATTATCAGGAAGTTTAAATTCTACTGCACCACTGCCAACTGGCCGGGGAGGTGGCTGCGTGAGGAAAACTGAACCCAGATCAACAGAAGGATCTTTCAACTGGTGGAAAAAGTTAAGAAAAAAATTCAAAACAGACACAAGCTGATTTCCAAGATCAAAACACAACAGTGTCTGATTGCATCATATAGTGCTTTCTGAATGAAAAAGCTTTTGGTGAGTCACATCAGCTCTATGTCAGGGAAAAAAGAAACTTTCAAACAAAAGAGCACCGTGCCCACTGAGAAACACGGAGGACTCTCAGTTGTGTTACTCGGGCTGCTTTGCTCCATCAGGGTAACTCGAATCTGTGCTGAACACAGATTCCCAAATCAGAAGATTACCAAGGGAGGGAAACATACTGCCCAGTGTTAGAAAACTCTTTGGCAGATAATGGCTCCTTCAAAAGGATATTGACACAAAACAGACACTTAAACCAAGACTGGATGTGAGGGGAATATTGAATTGTCCTGACATGACCTGCTATAATTCCTAAACTCAATCCAAGCAAACATCAATGTCTTAAGTCCTGAAGCTGGGAGCTGAGCAAAGACACTCATCAAACCTGACACAAGTGGAGCAGTTTGCTCAGCAAGAGTCAAACTATCTGCTGGGAAGCGTAGAAATCTTATTAAGAACTACACAAATTGCAGTGATTGTCTCTAAAGGGGGCACGGCAGAGTATTTGCTTGATGGTCCTGATAGTTTTGCCCACGCCGTTTTCAGTTGTTGCATTGTTAAAACAATATAATACATTGTCTGTTCAATTAAACATGACAACAGAGAATGGTGGACAGCAATTACTTTTGTCATTTTCATCTCATTTATGAGGGAATTGTACAGGTAATTTAACATCTGTATGAGAGTTGTGTTCACTGTCCAGAGATCCACATAGATGCAACCAAGAAATGTGCTCTTATTAGCTTTGCTATAACACCAATGAATGCCCCAACAGCTCGCTAAAACTATGTCAAGTTTGTAAGCATGAGTAGCAAGCTGGAAAGTAATTAATACATTTTGTTATGATATTCTAATAGCAGGAATTGCCACTCTAAAGAAATAGAGAAAAGAATTCCTCCAGCTTCAGCAACAGACTGATACCACCCCGCTGCTCCAAGGAACGTTACAGGAGGTCTTTCCTCCCGACAGCAATAAGACTCTTCAATGCTTCAACCTAAGCAGTGTATTATTATATAATATAATAGCACATTACCATTTGCACATTTCTGTATATGCATCTGTATCTCTATATATATTTTTGGTAAATTTTGTTTACTCTTTTCTATGTTATATTTACTATATTTTTATCTTATTTTACCTTCATTTTATACCCTACCCTAATATTCTGTGTTGTCTTTTTGCTTTGTTTACCCCCGTTGTTGAATAGTCACGCTGCTGTAACACCTGAATTTCCTTGTGGGATTAATAAAGTCAGTCTAAGTCTATTTACAGTAGCTTCCGCTGACCTGAAAAAATGCAGCACATGCCGAGAACATTTATGTATTTAGTCTTTTATGTGCATCCATACTTGTCGTCTATGTAGCCACCCATCATGTCATGAGACACCATGGTCCGCTGCAGACATCTGGCCAGAGGTGGATCCCGAGGCGCCAGGGGGACGACTGCCACGTTGAACGGGTTTGCCTCGCTTCGTTTCCACGACAGCAACTCTTCCATTGTGCGAAGACCACAGCTGATCGGTTCGGTGGTGTCAGCATCATAGTGTTTTGCTGGAAGATCAGAGAAATCAGCACGTTAAAGAAGCGCAAAGACCTGAGTTACTCCTCAGATGGTGTCAGACTCGAAAATACAGTCACCCAACCTGAGAGCAGCGACGGTGTGAACTTGATGACTTCACGAACACTCGAGTCTACGGGTTGATCCAAACACGACTCCAACCTGGTGACAGCGGCGACATGAGATGAATGCATTTTGTTCTGCTGCACATGGGAGGCAAAAGCAGAAAAACAAATGTCCTGACCTGTGCTTTACTTAACTGGTAAAAAAAACAGAAGTACTGGCAAAAAAAAGGATGCCCCAAACTACTCTGATTGGGCAATTTCCTCCTAAATATCCAATCATATCACAGAGACTAAGTTCAGTGCAGGTTATTGGGGTTATCTCAGCTTAGTCTTGGAGATTTTACATGTACAGCAGTTTTTGGAACTTGACCTCAACGACAGACTAAAAGTAAATACATCTCTTCCTTGCTGCACAGATTTTGATTATTTTTTAATCAATCTCTCAAACATTTACCAATATTGTCACCCCTTTCAGTGAATGAAATCTTTAGAAAGTTGATATCACCAATTAATAAGAACACCTTTCAGATTCTTAGGTATTGAAAAACCAGTTTGGCTTTTCTTCTGGACTGTAATCCATTTATGAGGACATGCACAGGGGAGGCCAATTAAGTTAATGATGGCACAATTCCATTAAGTGTCCTGTCAAAAAATTATTACAGGCTTCATGTTTAAACTGTATTGCCCAGTTTATATACATCTGCAGCCGCTTTTATTTGGATTAAACAGTCATAACATGCAAATACACAAAACTAAAATATGTGGTAGCAATAAAAGCGTGAACTTTTCTTGCATCTGAATAATTTGGACGAAATCATATTTGCAATTTAGGCTTTTTGTGTTTGCTATGTCTTGACTGTAATTAGCGTGATTTACAGAGACACTATCTCTACTGCAATTATCCTGTAGTTAAAACCTTTAAAATATAACTCGAATGAATGAAATCAGTTTATGTGGATGCCTATTTAACATTTCCATCACAACACAGGGGCTGCAATCACTTTCTGGCAAGTGGAAAACTGCATTATGTGAGTTGAATTGGTCCCTCATAGCAAATCGTGACAACAAAACTGGTTACAATCCAGGGCACGGGGCAGGTAAAAGAATATCATGAGGATAATTGTTCTCACGAACAGCAATTGGTTTTTGGCAGATGGTTCGTTTTTAGCACAACACCTGCAAACCACGTCAGAAATCCAGAATATAATGCATGTTTACTGGAGGTGGCTCACCTAAATGGAATGCAGCCATGCTCACTGTCCTCAAACACACCTGTGCCTTTCCAAGTGGAAAAGGTGTATCAGAAAGTAGCTGATATGATTTGAACTCACTGTTTGAGTAAATCAAAGTGGCAGCAACACTGTTAGTCATAATAAAAGCTGTAAACAACATTAAGCTTAAAATGTTAGCCCACACAGTGTCTGGCTGCCCGTAAGAGAGACTGAGGCTAGTAAATATATTCCTCACATTAAAGAACTTTAATTGCAAGTGTGCTACTGCAAATTGGGCTGCAAACAGCTAATAAACTAACTGCTGACGTCCAGTTATGGGTAGGAAGTTAAATGAAAAGAGTGGAGTACCGGCTGGGTTCACTTCTGTCCCTCTTCAAGGCGACAGCATCACTATCTTCTCCGTCTGCTCTTTTCCTTCGTGTGAGAGGCTTGTTTTCAGCACCAGTCGACGCCATTTGATTGAATTTATTGGAAGAAGAAAAAAAAAGAAAGAAAAAGAAATGAACTGTCAAACAAGCACAGATCAGGAAACAGGAAGAGACTTTCAACTAGCAACCGGCGCCGTTAGCAACCGCTGCTGACTTCAGAATAAAAGCACCATGTCCGTAAATAAAAATGACAAAAAAAAAATCGATGACAGTTTTGCTGTGCTTGCAGAAACAGTGTGATAAATACTCCGGAATAAACACAATGTAAAAATGTATTAAAATAAAAAGGAATGGCATCGAAATCAGACTGATATATATACTGCGCAAAAACACTTTACACTACCAAAAAGCAGTCAATACATTTATATATATATATTTCTTATTTTACACGTATCTTACATAACATGACCTCACCCAATAATTATATCATATAAAGTACATTTTACACTAAACTGTGCTACTTTAAAAAGAAACCGCTACGGATTTAGTTCCGTTTTTATCATACAGTTCAGTAGTTAATTCTATTTATTTATTTTTTACTGTTCATTTAAGAGGTATTCGTGCGTTTTAGTGTTCATGAGAGGATGGACAGAGGCCAGCTGGACAAAGGAACCAAGCTTTTGTTATTGTGCAGGACCAGACTCCTTTGCTTTTGATAAGATTAGTCGCTAACAGGAGACCACAAGAACCGTAACACGGGGGGCACCAAGGGAGGAATATGGCGGCCATAAGTCATATACGGAGGCCATTGAGGCGAAACTTCACTTCTTCGGCTTATGAAGTATTTGTGTTTAAAGTAGTTTCGAGCTTTTGAACGCATTAAAACCGGTATGAATCAATTTAATGTAAATGTGTTGCTTTGTGATGGTTTAAAACAGAAACAACAGTACTTACTTTCCATTTTGCAGTATTTAACTAATCTACTCATTAGGTTTCAGTTAATTTAATCACCAGGTATTGTCAGGTGATGTCGTTATCTATTTCTAAAACCATGAGAGTAGATTATTTAATCACTCAGAGCTTTACAGTCCCAGGCTTATGAATAACAAAAGGCTGCGGGTTTCGCCCCGTTGCTTATAATGGTGTCCATTGGTCCCTCTCTGTCAGTGTCCTCCCCCTCTCACCCAGCAGGGAAGTGATGTCAGCCGCATCCTGCAGCTCTAGAACAGGGTCCTAACAGAGAGCAGACACCGCAGACAGAGCGACAGGTCCCGGGCTCGATCCTTAGCGTAACCCGCCGAAAATCCGCCTTCATCCGCGGAGGAATAAAACGTAGCGACTTAAACGACAGCGGGAGCAGAAAGTACAGACTCTAACCTTTCTAACGAGCCGCGTATTGTCGCAATATGAGGTTAGTACATATTTAAAACAAAAGGCGAAAGATTGTGAGAGCCGACTTCATCCAGAGACAGCGCACAGAGGACCCGGTTCTTCGCTCGAGCAGATCTTCCCTGTCGGATTTTTTTTGGCCTGTTTTGCTTTGAAACAAGCTTGAACTGTAAAACCGAACATTTTTTTTCGGGATATTTTGGAGCTAGCGAGCCTGTTTGCTAGCCAACCGCAGATTTCTTCACCATGGAGTTGAGAGTGGGAAACCGATACAGACTGGGCAGGAAAATTGGAAGTGGATCGTTTGGAGACATCTATCTGGGTGAGTTATAATCAAAGAAATGTTGCTGCGTTTGGGTTGTTTTATTTCCATTTGTGTAAATACGTGAAAAAAGGTGTCTGTAGGAGTTATCCAGCTGGTTCTCTTTCCGGGGTTCCCTAAACGAGCTGATAGTCAATCAGCTGTTCAGTGTTAGCAACATTAGCTCCAAGGCTAGCTGTCTGTGTAGCAAAGCAGCTAGCAGTGTTATTTGTTTTATTTAAATATGTTATAGAAAATATGTGTGTTTCATTGTGCTCGACTTCCGGGACATTTTTGCCTCAAGGAAATTAATAACCAAATGAACCGTGTTAACGATAAGAATTGAAACTGACGGCTGCTGTGAAGCTAAACCCTTTATTACTAAACTAGCTAGCTAATATTTAAGGTTCCTGCCTGCTACTTGGTATTTATTTGAAAAAAAGAAGAGCTAAACAGGACGTAGGTTTTACATTTTAAGTCCCTGCAGTGCTAAGTGTCATCCAGCCTTTATATATAGATGCTGAACATCCACTTCTGAACACAGCAGGCCGGTTTAGTTTCCTCCTCCTGTTCATAGATTGAGCTAAATGCTACATCACTGAAAGGTTTCCAGAGGCTTACATAGCTTAAAGTCACAATGACAAGAGTTTATTATTAAAGCTGTGAGAATGTTTGAATTTGATCAAGGGAGGCCTGCTGAGAACCAGCTGAGAGGACTCTGACATGACCATGGGTAATAAATCTACCTGCTTGTATAATGGTTGAGGGTGCTTGATCATATTATATAGTCCCATCCACAAAGTGCCACAGGCTGCGGGCAATTGATTTAGTAGTCTTTGTTATACTTGATTAGATGTGTTTGCTCTCATTGTTGGTCAAGGTGGAAGCGAATATTAGATGTGCTGGTTAAAGATTGTTCACTGCACCATCAATGCAGGGTTACACCATTAGCCATGACACTAGCATTTATGGTTGGGATGTGATAGATAGATAGCATCTGAGCTACAACATAGGTTAAACATAAATATTGAAAAGTTATCAGCTACCTTAAGTTCACCTGAATGTGTTCGCCATCATTTTTGACACTGAGTTCCACCTGCTTTATTGTAACAAATCCACCGGTGGCCATATTGGAGGTCCACAGCTCTTGGCAACAGAGGCTGGGAACAGCTGATCACATTTCTGAGCTTAAAACTTTGTCATCTGAACAACAATAGAATGAAGACATCGTTAATTCATGAGGGGCTTTTAGTGGCGTCTATCCAATCAACCTGGACAGCCAATACCCGGGTCTGGCTGTGACTCAATCATGGTGTCATTTAAGTGTGTTAAAATGTACTCAGTGGGTCTGAATTGAGCAAAGGCCCATTTGCAAGCATTGATTTAATTTTCCAGTTTTGTAGCTGATGTTGCAGTTGTTGTTACTTTTAAATGAAAGCATGTGATTGAGACAATTTAATTTGATTCCCTTAATATAACTGAACTCTTTTTTTAGTTTTTGGTTTTATAGTGTTGTGGGGCCATTCTAATTTATTTGTTTTAGCCTATTTGTTATTAATTAGATTGCTATAGATTCAATTGCTTCCCCATTTTGGAGTCAGTATTGTTGCTTTTTATAACAGCTCTTTCAGGCAGTCATTAAATTTAATTCATTAAATATTTTTTCATCTACTGTGTAAAGTAAAAATTTTGCTCAGTGTCCCTGAGGGCTTTATTTTAATAAATGATAAGAGTGGAGTACAAATGTTTGATGTGCCTCCTCTGAAATACTGCACGAAAGCATGAGAAATAATTGTGATGGATTTCTCAAGTCAAGTTTCTGGGGTTTGCTAATTAATTTTCATAAATGACTTGTTTACGGCTTGCATTTGGTCAGCAAAATATTAAAGTTAAAAAAAATAAAGCGGGGTTCTTTTAATTTAGAGTATTTTAGTTTATACAGTGAAGCTTTGTCTTGCCTACGAATATAGTTTGGACACATTACAGTCGGTAAAACGAGCTCTGATGTGCTTCCACAGTCACTAGCGTTTATTTTAACTGGTGAGAAACAACCATTAAAAAGACACAGCGGTCCTACAGTTCTGCCTCCAAACTATTTCCACAGAAGATGCTTATCATTTCTGGCCTTTGTTGTGTTTCTAGTAATTATTTGTAACACGTGATCAATTCGATGTCCAATAACACGTTCATTTTTACAGTTATTTGGCACAGACTGTCTTTCTCTCTTGCGGGTCCTGATGGTCTTTTATTGTTGCAGGATGAGTGATTTACCCATCAGTCAGTGTGACCAGTTTTAATTCACTTTTGTGGGAACGGTCCATCAGTGTCTCATTGTTTTGTAGTTTGTTCAGATCAAATGAGCAGAAATGAAGGTTTGAAAACTCGTACTAAAGTTCTCCTTTACATAAAAGAAGCGTTAGGTTAGTCAGTTAATTAGTTTGGCTTGCTTTTTCGGGGCACGCCTTTGTGCATAGTTTGTTCTCTGGGAAGCCTTACTGGCTTTTTGTTGGGTTTTCACTGTGCGTATTTTCATTTTTTAAGAAAGCACTCAAGCTCCGGTAGTATAAAACGCATTGTAAGATCAGGTTTAGCGGGTGCACAATAGCAGATGGTTCAACTGGCTGACCTTTGCACCACAATATTGATAATGCCATATGGTCCCACCCAAATCTCTATAAAGTGTTTACATGGCTTCTATGGTAATACGAGCATATCTGAGTGCTTTAAAGTGTTTCATTCTCTGCAACATCAATAAATCTCACCGAGCTGACTCTGCAGATTTAGTTAAGCAACATCAAACACTTGACGGTCAGGTTGAAGCGCCTCATGACAGGAGGGTAAACCAGTCCACACAAAGGAACGTTCCTTTTAAATGCTCTGTTTCAAAGGCGGGAGATGTAAGGTTAATAAATGCATTAATTGGATCCAGTCTGTCTTCCACATGACCTGTTGTTTGGACTGATAGTGAGAGCTGCCAGCTGCTTGCATAATCACTTTGTGTGTTTTTGTCTTCACTCATCTCTCCCTCCCTTCTCCCTCCGAGTAGCTGGTGACTAACGTGACGTAACATTGTTAATCAGACGGAACAGTGCGTGGTTCTTTAGGAACACCCACCCTGCAGGGTTTTTTATCACAGCAGTAATTTGTACTCATTGTAGTTTCTTCTGTGTTTATCATAGAAGCAAAAGTTCTGAAGCATGTTTTTTTTTTAACATTTGAGAAGAAATTTGAAAATGTTCCCCCGCAGTGGAGACACAACAAAAACAAATTCCAAAATGCGCAGAGCAAATCAAAGTCCGATAATAATGCAACTGGATTTCACAGTCATCCCCACTTTAATGCTCCCACGCAGCGTGTGAAGGCAGCGTGTGTTAACGCTGACAATGTGCGAGCAGCTCGGTGTGTCGGTGCTGTCTGAGCGGTGGATTCTGCTCATATTGGTGTGAGAGGCTGTTTGTTGTTGGCAGGAGGAGGAGGAGGAGGTGAGGTCAGCTCTTGGAGCGAAGCCTCGTACTCTATGTGCTCCGACTGGGTGCAAATGTGGACCGACAAATATTCGCATAGAACTGGTAAAATGGCGTGTGTGTGGCCTTTGAGAGCTTTTGACATGGCAGGTTGTCATTTCTGCCCAAAGAGCGGTAACGAGCGGTTAGTCAGTTGGCTGAGTCACGCTGGTTTTCCACGGAGATTTCCTGTTGCTGTGTTTGCTGGTCGATGATGTGTTCGTTCGGTTCGTGTTGAAACAAGCTCCAAAAAACCTGGCTGCTGTGTTCGTCATTGTCCAAACTGCCTCAGGTGGAATAGTTTCTCCTCATGGCATGGCATCAGACGTCAATACTTGTTTGGTATCGTCCAAAGAAGTATTCCATGCCCGTCAGTATCGAAAGCTGACGCCGAGCCCGTGTTTTATTGTGTTGTGTGATCAGAGAGTTCCTCGACTAAATAAAAATGTGGACAGTTTTAGATGTTTGATTTCGGCACGGTTCAGCTGTATAATTTCATTTTCACACCACTTTAATAAAGATCTAGAATGGTGGGGGGGAAGGTCAATTTTTCCAGCTTCTTAAATTTGAATATTTCTATATTTAATTTCTCCTTTGTCGCAGTAAAGTGAACATCTTTGGGTTGTGCTCAAACTCACTAACATTTGTCACTACTTTCTGGCAGTTTATAGACTCAACACCTAACAGATTTACTGAGAAAATAACCCACAGATTAACAGACAGTCAAAGTAGTTGTTAAACATTTTGAGAAATAGGTTGTTTTGCTTTCTTTTGTAGTGATACGAGTGAGTTAGAGTTGTTAAAATAAGTTTTCTGTCTGTGTGTTAAACCAGAGCTTTATTAATGCTTCAGAACTTTTGCTTCTATGATAAATAAAGAAAGGGTTTTGGTAAAACCTACTCGGGCACCATACGTGAAAATAGCTCCCAACCCAACCGCTCACAGTCTTGTAAAGCGCTGCTTCAGCCTATTACCTGTCTGACTAGGAGTTGTGTAACTCAGCTTGTGATATGTCCGTAAGCTGAAGAGGTTCCAGCAGTCTTTGCCAAATGGGATGGGCCCGCTTATATAAGCAAAACTAACAGCGAGGTTGATTTAGAGCTGCTGCCGTAACAGAGAACTTAAGATGCTCCTAATGCTGGCAGTGACTCAGTTTTCAAACCGATGACGCTTTTTGTTGCTGCCTCCGCTGTGTTATGCCGGTTACGGTGGTTTTGCTGACGTCACCTTAGAAAGCCAGCGTCTGAAAGTTTACAGTTGAGAAATTGTGCCGAACACACGCCGAAGGGTTCATCTGGTAGTGTGCTTTTCTCAAGCAGGAAATATGGTCGTAAAGCATCAGCAGAGCCTCCTAACAGGCCTGGTTTGATGTGGTCCTTGTGCTGAACCACGTGCGCTGCAGATGAGGATCTAAAGTTTGGCTTCCTGTGTGCGACGTGCCAGCTCACACCTCCCACACTATGCTTGTACAGTATTTGAGGAAGGGGATTGTTAGCATTCTGTGGCTGCGTTTCCTCGCCGCCTATCGCATCAGCCTTGTTATCATGTTGCCCGAGTCCATGCTGTGAATTTCTAAGTGACACTTCAGAATTACGTTAATTAGCTTCTGCGATTATTTTTCAAGTTTGCGCTGCGACGATTAACATGCGAATACTGGTATGGCTGAGTGCCACGAGATAGTGTCAACTTGTTATGCATTTATGACAATAAACAGCTTTAGGTCTTCAAAACGTGTTAATGCAGTGTGAAGGTTTCCGTCTTGTTTGCATTTATTCGTCACAAAGCGCTTTCCTGTCTCGGTAACCGTCATTGAATATTTGCATTGTAAAGATTAGCTCCTGACTATAATCTGCCTTTGTCGCTGTTGGTGTGTAGAAGGATGTGTCTGAACATGTTTCAGCAGCAGCACAGGATGAAAACACACGCCACATACGTGCACGCTGTTTTGCCAATAACACACACACCCTCCAACCTCCCCTCTCTGGGAAGATCAGCGGGGGGCTGCATTCCCCAGAAAAATCTGTCCAGACAAATCACATTCCTATGATGCAAGAGAGCAGCCAGCACACTGAAACTCAGGGTTGCTAAGAGCCCTGTGAAAGACCTTTGCAGCCATTTCATGTTTGCAGCCGATTGATTGATTGATTGATTGATTAGCCACGCACGAAACTGCAACAAAAAGTCACCGAGTTAAGTGTCTTTGTGTTGCACGGAGGCTTAAACACAGTAGAATAGCCGTTGTTTACGTGGCACTCATTAATACCAGGGATGTGCACGACTAAACAATTAAACGTTGCCCTCACTAGTTGTCACCGGGGCTAAAAAAAAAAAAAGATAATCTAATCACAGGCATTACTGGCATAATACACTCATGAATTAAGATGATCTAAACTGGCGCTGTCATCGTCAGCTCACTTGTACGTATATCGTCATTCAGCCGGAGCTAAAATGATTAATCGTTGAATGTTTCTTTGCACATTTAATTACTCAACCACTTTTAATCAGTGTTTAATCTTCTTAGGCATTTTTAAGCCATAAATCCAAACATTCGCTGGTTTGAGTTTCCTAAATTTGTCTGTTTCATATCATTTGTGTTTTAAACGTAGGTTGTAGTGTGATATCAGTGTTATATTCAGTGTGCCATACAAATATGTCTATCATCTGTTATTGACAGATTGGATTAATAAATATGCACAAGGGCGAAATGAATATGGCTTTTAGGGTTTTCCATTAATGGAGCCCATTAATAGATAGCTGTCCATTTAATATAGTGATGAACCCTATTTAGCAGAGTATTTTTAAGCTGCTGCTATCGATTGTGGTTTGTTTTCCGTATATTTGTAGCACGTTTACGCCCAGCTTCTCTCATTTCAGTGGAGAAACAAGTTTTCTCTCTTTTACTTTGTGATTTGGGCGAACTGCCCCTTTAAAGTGACTCCCCACAATGATTTGGTGGATTTGGACCGCCGGCCAGGGGCAGATCAATGCCATTTAATTTAGCTGCACCGATGAGAAGCGGCAGAGTCGCCTCGTGCCAGCCTGAGCTCATTGTTTTCCTGCATCATCGCAAAATTTTGCCGCAGCGCCCACTCGCATGTTGTCCGGCCACATGCGTGCAGGCCTTCCTTAAGCTTTACCTTCACAGTTCTTGTGTTAAAACTTCAGATTTAAGGAGTCATGATACTACTTGTGCACCCCACCCTGGTGAGTGCAGCTCGTCCCACCCAGATGACATCATACTGAGAAATCAATGATGCTCCATTGGTGCTGCTGTTGGCCGACACGATTGAGCTGCTCTTAGTATGAGGGGCTGTGAGTGTGTGTGTGTACACGTGTGTGTGTCTGAAATGGGATTACGTAACCTGGTGTCCAGTTGCTGTGTTTATGTGGAGGGAACTGGACCCCATAACCATATTTAGGAAGGAAGCAGCTGAAGCACTGGTTTGTCCGTTTCACAGCGATTGCCTCAAATCCTCCGTTGTGTGTGAAAGGAGTGAGATCAAAATGAAATGATAACTGTGAGGAATTTGGCCTCCGCTTACAAGTAGATACATGAAAGAAGAGCAGGGTACATACAGTGCAAACCGTTGGGGGGTTTATCTTCCACTCTGGCGGGCTTTGCTGTGTTAACAACCGCTGGTATTTCCTTGTGTATGCAAGCAGAGCTCCTCTCTTCTAACTTGTTGACAACATTTATTGCCTTCATGTTGCCTGGGCTGGTTTGGATTAACTTGATATAAAGATATATGGTGGTGATGTCTGATGCTGTGTCCGTACTGCAGATTACACAACGTCATGTTTTGTACATTGCCCTCATCATGAACTCTCTCTCTGTCCAGGTACCGATATCTCAGTTGGAGAGGAGGTCGCCATCAAGTTGGAATGCGTGAAGACCAAACACCCACAGCTCCACATAGAGAGCAAAATCTACAAGATGATGCAGGGTGGAGGTACGGTATACTCTCCTATTTGTGCTTTTATGAACTCCTCATCAATATTTACAAGCACTCACAACAACTAGCCAGTTTCCATCCGTCATTGTAAATCATCTGCCACAAATAAAATGACTGATGTTTGTTGCCTCTGACAAACCGTATATTAAGTTAATGGACGAGGTAACCAGGTAGGGTTTGGTATGTTATCAGTGCAACAAAGAAAACAAAAGACGCGCATAAATCAACACTGCTGTCATTTATTCTGAAAGATGTAATCATTCATCAGTGGCGCAGTTACTGTAGTTCTTATTGTAACTATGAAGGCACTCAAATTTCTGGTGTGTTTTTAATACGACAAAATAGCCAACACAAATGTCAGTGATTTTTCATCTTAATCCACTGACATGGTCTTTCTCAGTTATTAAATTAATCACATTTCGGCTTTAGAACTGCACAAAGCAACATTGTTTTCTCTCTTTTTGTCAGCGTTAAGGTCACGGCTATCCTATCCGATTAAACTTTATTTACAAGTCGCAAATTCAGGCTGCAGGAAGGCAGATTAACACCTGTAACATACGCATTGTGCAAAATTACTGCAATTACAACACATCTGCAAGTCTCAAAGGCTACCTCTGCTAGCATGCTGTAGCTGATAGACAACAACTGGTGCACTGCCAAAACATTCTGGGTAGAACTCGTTCTCTAGAATTGCTTTTCCAGGAGGTGATGCCATAAATGTAATTTCACTTCTGACAGTAAGTGTTTGGAGTTGTTCGTTATGTAAGGAACGCTGCAAAACAAAACAAGGAAGTGTTGTGCAGAGTAGATGTTCAGTCACAAACACAGGTCACAGTTTTCAATCAATCTTATTTTGTCGTTTACTCTGCAGGATGTTTAGTGGTTTTGCTTTGTTGTTTGCTGCCGAACACCTCTGAGGAACTAGTTCTATTCCACTGTCCTCAACAAGGATGTTGGTTTTCAGTGACGCAAGGAGAAACGTCAGCGGGCAACCAAAGTCATGAGGGGACTGTGAATGTCCAAAGTTTTGTGCCATTAGGATGTTTTACTGAAATTTTACCTACTGGTGACAGTAGAGGGACATTTGATGGAAAACTGAATGGCAGTCTAGTTGTAGTTTAAATATTTCAGCGTGGCCCCAAAGTCAACCAAGCAACCGACTTTGTCATTCACACAGTTACGCAACTAGCATGACATTTAAAACAAAATCCTGTCCCGGTGTCAGGATACTGGCAACAAGACCAAATAACTTGAGAAGCTCAAACATGCCTACAAGCTTCAAGGATGAGAGAGGCAAGAGGGAACTTGTCACTTTAAGTCAGTGTGTTAACAGGAGGTTAGCTCTGCTGCTGCTGCTGGGCACAAAAAAAAAATCAGGGAATGTATCTTTAAATGTTCTGCCAGCTCAGTAGTGTCTGCAACATGTTGAAGAAAATTGACAACTGCCTTCTGTAATAAGCCTCGTACACCAGAACGGTTTGCATTTCTATAGCTCATGCTGCACAGGTGGCAGCTGAACCACTCTGGCATGCTTCAGAAGTTTAAATTAGTTGTCCTTTGGTGGCTTATAGCTTCACTCTGTCCTTAATAGCTTTTCTACCTTTATAGCAAACGGTCTAATCGAACCACGCGTATAGAAGGGACGGTTTGTCTCTGTCGGCACAACTGTGCACACACATGCATTTGTATTTTTGTTCCAGCGTGGCAGGATTTATTGGGACGTGGTAGCTGAACCAGACTGCGGGATGTATTTGCGTTTGTATGTATATAAATAGCTGATGCAGAGGGAGTGAGTGTGTGTGTGTGCAGTGCGAGGTGCTGAGCAGCAGCATTTTGTTGCTGTCTGCCTGTAGAAGGAAATGCCAGATGGCCCCTTCGCCTTGGCAACGTCAGCCAGTTACCAGCTACTAGTAAACCAGCTGGCCTCCGTGTATGGGGCCACGGACTGAGTGTACATTTTTAATCTATAGTAGCGCTACACTGGTCTTTATCAGATGAGTTTTTTTTAAAATTCAGGCTAGTATAACATAGAATAAAATGAAGATAAATGCTCTAATTGACCGTGTTGTACTGAAGTGATCACTGCTAGAAATGTGGCTAAAGGAAGAACCAGAAAACAAGTTCACATGTGCTGTGATACCCCGTTGTTGCTCAATAATCTGAGTGCGCATGAGTAAAATCTGATCCCCCCCACATGCTAATCCACTGAAACGGGAAGTGACATTTCTCAAGTGCGTCTGCAGTTGGAAGACCTGACGTCATATCCAGATGTCCACGTGCTGCCGTAAAATAAGACGGAACCTGCTGATCTTAAGAAATGACTGCACAGCAAATCACTCAGTTGCCACATTTGTTTGCATAGTAATCATGGCAAATGAAGGAAGAAACGCATTTTACCGTTTTGATAATCATAGTTATGTCTCCATCACTGGAACTAGTCTCCAGGCATGTGCACATGGAGTAAAAATCCAGCTCTGCACATGCAAGGATAGAATTCTGTGTTCTCTGGCAGAAATATAGCTAGAGATCGGGTTTCTCTAATCCCCTGCCCCGATTACAGTAACCAGGTTTCTCATTCACATGACGGGTTACCAAATCAGCTTACTGGAGAAAGCTGACTGCAACCTAGTTCAGCGCATTCGAAGGCACAGTGTGTTCAGACTGGCTCTCAGCATCTGCATGATTTAAGAGAGGCAGCAGCTGCACACTTTGTATGTTTTGGATATGTATAAGCTGATGTAAAATGAGCTCTCCCAATAACGAATGCATGAATACAGTCAAATGGGCACTTTAGTATTATTAAAATGTTTACCCACAATGCCCTCTCTCAAGCACTAAATCAGAACTTGGATAAGATTTTTTTTTTTAAATAAATAACACCCCCAAGAACATTCATAATATTCTCAACATAACTAAGTGTGATGAATTGTCTTCTACAAGCTGTCAGAACCCTTGTCATCATATCATATATTTCAAATACATGAATGTAACCCTTTGTTTTCCTCCCTCTGATCTCTTCCAGTGGGTATCCCCACGATAAAGTGGTGCGGCGCCGAGGGCGACTACAACGTGATGGTGATGGAGCTGCTGGGGCCCAGTCTGGAGGATCTCTTCAACTTCTGCTCTCGGAAGTTCAGCCTCAAGACAGTCCTGCTGCTGGCTGACCAGATGGTGAGAGGATGGAGTAAAAAAAAGGGGGGCGGGTGTACGATGAAATGTGAACGCCGTAAATGTAGTTGCATTAACTAAAAACCACGACATTAAGTTTTCATGGTTTTGCTATGTGGTGCATAAATTGTGGGATGTAAAGTAACAGTTTCTGGAAATAGGGCATACATGATTTCCAGTCTTTCTGCTAAGTTAAGCTGCTGGCTGCAGCTTCGTGTATCCTGTGGACACATTGCAATTTTAAGCTTAGAATCTCAGCAGAAAACAAATAAGCAGAACTCTCAAATTGTTAAATACTTGCTTTAACTTTACTAGACTTCCCTTTGTTCTCTGCACTGGACTGATCCAAATCATCCAAAGTCTAAAAGTTTGATTCCAAACCAGAAACGTCCAACATTCTTTCACTTATAAGCTCCAACAAGTACTTTGTGGAACATCTCACCATCTTTCCTTGTTAACATTCGTCTCCCGTTTTTCCTTCCAGATCAGCCGCATTGAATACATCCACTCCAAGAACTTCATCCACAGAGACGTGAAGCCAGACAACTTCCTGATGGGGCTGGGCAAGAAAGGCAACCTGGTCTACATCATCGACTTCGGCTTGGCCAAGAAGTACCGCGACGCGCGCACACACCAGCACATCCCCTACCGCGAGAACAAGAACCTGACCGGCACCGCCCGCTACGCCTCCATAAACACACATCTGGGCATCGGTAAGATTAACCCCCCGTACATCGATCCGATAATTCACTCACATCCCTCCAGACGGATAATTCTGACTGTCTGCCTTCTTCCTGTCTTGTGTTTACAGAGCAGTCCAGAAGGGACGACTTGGAGTCACTGGGCTATGTCCTCATGTACTTCAACCTGGGCTCTCTGCCCTGGCAAGGCCTCAAAGCTGCCACCAAGAGGCAGAAGTATGAACGCATCAGCGAAAAGAAAATGTCCACGCCCATTGAGGTTCTGTGCAAAGGCTACCCATGTAGGTTTGACTGCTCACATCCACCAATTTATGCCCTGTATGTGATTGAGCCCCTGCTTTGTTCTGACACTGATCGTTCTCGTCTTTTTCGTCCTCACAGCGGAGTTTGCCACCTACCTGAACTTCTGCCGCTCTCTGAGGTTCGATGACAAGCCCGACTACTCGTACCTCCGCCAGCTCTTCAGGAACCTCTTCCACAGACAGGGCTTCTCCTACGACTACGTCTTCGACTGGAACATGCTTAAATTTGTATGTCGTTTCACCAAATTGAAGGATTTCATTTGTTCTTTGTCATCTCCAAAGTCAATCATCGTGTGATTAAATAAATAAATAAATAAATAAATAAGGGCAAGAAAATGATCTCAACTTTGAGATAAACTGATCTTTACATCAATAATATCCAATAAAGAACAAACATTAAAGAAATTCTTGAACTTTGTCAACAAAATGTTAGAACGTGCGTGTGATGTAAAAGTGTTTTGTAAACTTTAGGTACGGAGGGCAACCTGCGGGGCTCTTCCGTGGCACTTTGCATTTAGTAAACTTAAGTTGAAACTCTCGAACATTCTATCAATTTTCTATGTCATGTGACAATGTTCCTGAGAATTTGAACTTGAAGAGCCGCATGACGAATGCTTTCAGTCTGCAGCTGGAACAACAGCATTCTTGCCGACATCAGCACGCACAACAATTACACAATCGTTAGAAAATAATCTGAACTCACTTTACTCTCAACACTAGTCGATGACACAGTTTCCTGCCATTTCTGCTGATTTTTTATTTTTTTGCAAAATGCATGTTGTCTACCCCAAGTTCACTGGTGGGCTCCCAAAGCATGCTGCATAAAATATGAGGCGCAAAAACACCTCTGGGCATTTGGATCTTTCTCGCTAAAATGCTGACAAGGACACAGATTGAGAAAGGCCTCGGTTGCCTCCTCTAAACATTAAATCAATCTGGCAACTGACCTGCATTAAAATGAATATTTGTGGAGGGGGAAGTGCCCTTTGTCATTACCTGTACTGTATTTAAATTCCTAATTTAGTTGTCCGTATTACCACATTGTACTGTATCCTGTAAGTAAAGTTAAAAAAAAAATAGCTTGAATGTGTCTCTAAAGTGCTGCCATGAAAATGTAGGTTTTTGACCGCATGTCTGTTTTGTGTCAGGGTGCCAACAGGGCCGTGGAGGACGCAGAGCGGGAACGCCGGGAGCGTGAGGAGAGACTGAGGCACGGCAGAAACCCCGGGGCCAGGGGCATGGCCTCAGCCTCAGGAAGAGCCAGGGCACCTCAGGATGTCGCAGCCCCATCACCACTGAACCCTGCCTCACACACAGGTCAAGACTGTTCAGTTAATGTTCGTTTGTCGTACTTGCTTGATTTGCCTTGTGGCTCCTGCATGGTTTATGAGGACGTGATGTATTTTTCAAACGTTGACTGCCAAAGTAACAATTTTTGTTCTTGTTCATTATGACCAAAACTCGGTGTTAAAGCACCAACGCTTGTTCTTAAATAAAACTGGTCAAATGTGCAGTCCGTGTTTTCGAGTTTTTTTTTTTTTTTCCTTTTATTTCATCCAGATTTATTTTCGATATCAAATCTGTGACGCTGTACACCACAACAGCTGTGGCTATCGTCTAGAGTAAATGGGCGACTTGTACCTTTTGTGTCATTCAGGTATGGAGAAAGAGAGGAAGGTGAGCATGCGTCTGCATCGCGGTGCACCTGTTAACATCTCCTCCTCAGACCTGACGGGACGCCAGGACACATCCCGCATGTCCACCTCACAGGTACGCCACACAAAGGCAAAAACTGTGCTGTGGTTAAGTGCAGTGTGTGGAAATCACGGGCGCCCAGCTGAACTGGTTGAGCGGGCGACCCGTGAACAAGGGCTATAGTTCCCCGGTGTGGCGTTCTTGAGTTCGACTCACGAAAGCTTGTTGCAAGGTCTCTCCCATCCTGACTAATAAAGGCAAAAACGCCAGAAAAATAATCTTTTAAAAAAAGAAATACCCCTCATCCAAAGGGGAATTAAGAACAACAAAGGACGGACACTAAGTTTCATCTCAGATGATGTTATGGAATAAAATAAGTGCGCTTAGTGGCTCCAAAGAAGGAAGCACGTATCACAAGCGAGCATAAAGTGTGTATCAGCACAAACACATTGTTGGGACAAAGAGTTTCCCTTTTCACATGTACCAGATGCTCGTTTGTTCCTCTTTTTTTCCAATTCAAACTTAAAACCCCGACATGAAGCAACCAGACAGCTGTTGTCCCAGGTTCTGCTTTTGCTTCCACTGTCCTCGAACTACTATCTCATGGGGTCCTTCAGGTTCCTGTTTTGTCACACAGATGTGCCATCACCCGGCAACAGAGTAGTAGTCAGGACACGAGGACCCTTTGACCTTTTACAATGAAGAATAATGCACTTAGCATTTTGGGCACACTCTTAAAAATAAAGTCCTGCTATTGACATCCAGTCTTTGCCAGGTTTTTAAATTATTGTGGGTAAGCATGGCAGAGCCAACCAGCTTCGCCCAACAAGTTTTCCTAAGCTTCAGGCCAAAAAAAAGCAGCTTGAGATCTGAAAAAAAAAAAAAAAGCTACAGAAGTCGTCCCAGCAGCACTCTGCTGTTTAAAGGCTTCATTAGGTCCTTTGTTCTCTTGCTCTCTGTGGACCCAACGCTCCCCCCAGAGGTTAAAGAGCAGAACAGCCAGTCGAAGTCTGAAAACTATGTTTTCTCCAGTCGACTACAACCAACAGCTGTTGGTCAAGGTGTAAAAAAAAAAAAAAATGTTTTGAAGGGGAAGCTGCAGATTTATGATTCAGAAATTCTGCTCACATAAACTGATTTAATTTGTCTTCACTGATGTGGACCCAAGGCTGTTATTAAATCCTTTAAATTCTGCTTACGGTATCATTTTCTGCAAATAATAAAATGTGATTAAAGGAGTCGTCCTCATGACGCGATATTAAAAATTAAACCACTGTCTGGGGCGCCCGGATAGCTCGGTGGGTCGGGCAGGCGACCCATGTATAGGGGCTTCGGCTGCGGTTCGATTCCAGCCAGCGGCTCATTTGCTGCATTGTCTATCTTCACTGTCACTATCAATAAAAAGGCGGAAAAGCCCAAAAAATAAAAATAAAACTGCTGTCTGTATATATCAGCAGCTGCCTCAGAACAAGTTTCACTTTTTTCCAAACAGTGTCAGAAAAATCTATAATTTCTGATTTCTTTTTTGCCTTTATTGTCAGTTGTAGTAGAGGTGAAATGTGCAACAAGCAGCAAAGGTCTGTCTGGGAGTTTGAACTATGAACTTGGCTGCCCATGTGGTTTTAACCATAACCAGGCAGCCAATAGGATACCATGTGTTGGGTTTTTTTTCCCCATCCCAGTAAGATTTGGGAGAATATGAATAAGATAGTTGAAGGTAATTCTGTAGAAAAAGCCTGACAGTGAGTTCATCCACTGCCGTGCTCTTGTGATCAGAGTGCAGCTCATAAATAACCCAAATCCTGTTGAATAATTCAAATCATTTGCATGTACCAATATGAGCAGCAATGACAACATCTTGTGCTGCACATAAACTCAGATGGTTGGTGGTATTGTTGCTGTCGCTGTGTTGTTTAGCGCACGGTGTTGTTGTTGTTGTTGTTCTGGTTCCTCTGGGCTCACCAAGATGGCTCGCAGTTAAAAACATGAGTAATACATGATGTCGGGAAGCTTTTTAAATGTGTTTTTTGCATTTTTATTGAACAGTTTGGTGGTGTTGAGTCACACAAAACACACAGGGATACAAACAGTGTGAGGAAATGGGAACTTAACATCAAGGTTTTGCAATCTCAAACCTGCACTACCAGCCTCAACATGCCCCCGCTATGTTGACAAAAACAACTTCAAACCCAGACACAAGGTGCTTCTGTGGTTGCATAACTGTCGGAGTAGCTGTGGCCGTGTCATCAGAATGTGGCAAAAGTCACAGGCTAAGTCTAAAAAGTTAAGCTGGATATGTGAGAGTGGTGCCTCCACACTGCAGCGTGGATGTTGACATAAATGCTACTTACAAGTGGAAAATTGGGAAGACAGCGCTGCCCACTTAATGCCATACAGCTTTGTAAAGAATATCCCGCTTGTAATCATAAAATATCAAAGCCCCGAATCATTTCCTGTTCAACCTGTCGTAAAACAGCCTGTTTATTGTCGTAGAATAATGTCATAATCCTGTTTTTTGTCATCAATTGATTCCAGGAATAACTTTTGCCCGTTTATCGTCATGGTCGGCCGATCGTTAATGCACCCGTAGCATTAACTCTGATATGACATGAATGCAGCAATGTCATTTGTGTCTTTCTTCTACAAACTTTTGAATTATTTGTGCAGATTAATTTGCAATCTCAAAATCATATCACACCTAATTTGACATTGTGGCGTTGAAGGCGTCGTCTACCTCCTGGCCAGAACGTGAGCCGATTTCCAAACTGTTCCTTTAAGTCATGCTTAACCCTTTTGACGGTTATAGCCTGGTATACGGGGCTGGCATTATGACTCCTGTTCAACCCTGCAGCCCGGTATAGCGGCTCTGGTATATGGCGACTTTCTGTTACATTCAGTTTGATTGTCTATCAGTGGGAATCCCCGCGTGTGAACAAGCCATTCAGTCATGAAATAAATTATGCAAATGAAGTAAAATGGCATCGTTTGACTCCAAAAATCACCAGAAAACGAGATGTTGCGACCTCATTTCCAAAATGTTTATAAGCGATCAGAACTAAATAATTCCAAGACTTTGGCTGATGTGTCAGTATATAAGAACTGATAAGTAATTGCATATATCCCTGGTAATTATGAAGTTTACCTTTACTTTTTCACACCTGTGTGTATGTGAAAAGAGTAAACTTCCATATATATTTAACCGTCAACTTGACTCCTTTGATTGATACCAGATATGTAATGATGTGAAGTCTACTTAAGAATTCATGAGTGATTAATCAAAACCATCTGAACATGAATTTCAAGCAAAGTTGCTTCGTGTTGAAGTGTATAAGGCAGGGGTTCTCAACTGGTCTCACCCTGGGACCCACAGTTTCCCGTGGTCATTAAGTCGTGACCCTTTTTTTTTGGAATTCAGTTGAATATTCAATGTATTTTCCTGTGCAACATGCATTTCAGAGCATATAACCAGGCACAGTAACTGGACCATGACAACTGCCTGTACAAAATTGCACAAAATAAAAAAGGGCACAAAACAACATATTGATGGGAGATGGGAGGAATATTCGGAGATCAAAATTGAGATCAAAATCGATTCCAGCACAGCGAACGAATAGTTGGCTACTAGGCTATTCGGGTCCAGCCCTAGTATGAAAATCCACATTTTCAACACTCCGGGTCATATTTGCTGCTTTGCCGTCTTGCGTCCCAACATGAACACAAACGTAAAATAAACATCAAACAAACTATGGCTACCATGCCTGTCAAAATAAAAGTTTTTTCAAAATAAAAAAATAAGTCCAACCCATAGACTGTATAAAAGATGGACGTAGCAACCGGCCCTGAAAAATGAAGCCAACCTGGAAGTGTCAAAAACCTGCAATATCACTACGTCCGCTAGCTGCTGGCTCCAAAAAGTCCTGGCTCCCACAGACTGGAATTGGAAAAGAAGTGATCACAGATCACCAAATACTGCATTCCTACAGCTCAGGATTTTTTTCTTATTAGTTTTCATGGTCAAGTCCAGAGATCAGGTGGCCAATCTGAAAGTAAATCAATGCTGAAATTTGTAAAAATCATCAACATTTTGCGGGGCAAGGGGCGTGGCTGGCTTGATTGACAGTCGGCAGCGACTATGCAGACGAAGCCTGCAGAAGGCGGTAAATGTGGGCGGGCAGAGAGGGCCTGCCTCTCACTACGTCTGACCAATCGCTGCTCCTATGGCTCCGCCCCCCTCCGAGGATTTTTGCATCACTGGCTCCAAAAATCCAAGATGTCAACCAGGAAGTAGCAAAACCCTGGCTTCATTTTCTCAGTGCAGAAACCAACGGGTGACGTCACGGTAGCTACGTCCATCTTTTATACAGTCTATGGTCCAACCTGAGACGCACATTATATATTATTTAATTTGGACCAGCTGTCCGCGACCCACCCAGAACATGTCCCACCAGTTGAGAACCACTGGTATAAGGAATGCCCATTCACTTTGTGTTGAAAGGGGTTAAAAAACAATCCTCATTGTAGCTGATAATTTCATTTCTAAAAGCTAAACTGTTCCCCGTCTGTCTCCCTCAGGCTCTGTCTCGCGTCACACCCAGCGGCCTCCAGTCCGCGGCTCCTCGGTGAAACCCTCCCATCCACCCGAGCACCATGGAGGCCTCAACATGCACCACCTGCAGCACACACACACACACACACACACACACTCTCTGTCGCACACACAAACACACACACACACGCGCTAATACTACCAGGACTCTCGAGGACTACCAACCGATGCACAAGAGCCTGACTGCGCTCCTGTTCACTTGACAGAAGAAGAAGAGGCGCACAGCCAGGAGTGTGTGTGTGCATGTGTGTGTGCATGTGTGTGTGTGTGAAAGCAAGAGAGAGAGAGAGAGAGAGAGACGGTGGCAGGTGGAGTACAGTTTGGTTGCCTTAACAACCACCTTGGCAAAGTAGCAGCCACAGCATCCCTTCTTCTCCTCTCATGGAAGATGTGGAGACACTCCCTCCTCCTCCTCCTCCTCCTCCTCCTCCTCACTGTTGATGAAGCCATGGATTCACTTTCCTCTGGCATCTTTTTTTTTTTTTCAACTTATGGTTTTACTTATGTTTCTTCTTTAGCATTACAACTTCTCCTACACCAGCTGGTCAGACTGAAAACGTCTGAAAACGGAGAACGACGAGTCTGTTAGATGTTGAAAATAGTCTGTGGGACTTTAATCGAAGACACGTGATCCACCGCGGCAGTGTTAGAAGACCGTGCCTAAACTCTGCTTTGTGTCCTGAAAGACTCTTTAAATCCCACAAGTCGACTTTTTTTTTTTTTTTTTCCTTAATTTTTTCTAGGTGTATGAGGTTTAAATTTGCAGGTAGGATAACATGGGACAAAAAGGCCTTTTTAATGTTCTGTTTTCAAAGGTGATCCCATAGTGCGAGGTTGTTGTTGTTTTTTTTGTTTTTTATGTCTTTGTCCTCCTCAGGTGCGTTGGAACCAGGACGTTGTAGTAAATCCAAAAACATGCAGCACATTTTGTTTCTGTCTTCAGGTTGTGACTGCTGTGGGAAAAGCTGTGAATGGAGCAGTTAAATAGTCGGGGTGTCCACACTGAACGGATGAGATGTTGTTTTAAAAAAAAACCCGGTGCATAGTGATGTGGTTTTCGTGTGCGTGTTTGTGTGGTTCTGTCTTAGGGTTATACAAGCTCAAACGGGTGGGGGATGAAAATGTCGAGGGTCTTTATTTTTTATTTTTATTCTTATTATTATTATTTTGAACTCCTTTGCCTCCTCAACCTCACTGTAGACCGTCTGTCCTCCTGCTTCCATTTCGAGTCAAAACACAGTTTGCTTTTTCTTTTCTAAGCATACTTGTGGCCATGTTCTACCGAGACCTCGTTAAATAATCGCCATCTGTTTTGGGATGTTGTAACCTGTGGTTTTTTTTAAATGTGGCTCTCGAGACACTACAAAAATAGGGCATCAAAACTGCATTACAGAAGCCTAAGTATGGTTCATTTTTGTCAATTTCAGGATTATATCAGAGGAATGGTTCCTAAATTGTATTTCATACTCCATTTGTTATTGAGTATGTGCCATTACACGATATTTTACTCCATTGTTGCACACTGTGCAACAACTGCACTACAAGCCAGTCACTAAAGATGTCCTCAACAACTGAATACTTTTTGCATTAAAGGGGCATTTCACCATTTGTACAAACAGTGATCTTAGTCCTATTAGTACTACCCAGCTTGCAAAAACAAGCTCTGGAAAGGCTTAAAGAAAATACATGATTGAGTTGCATTATGGGAAATGTAGGCGGCAGTGTTTGGGAGCTTGACCCATACTAGTGGAACTTGTATTTTAGCCTTAGTTGCCTCAATTTTGACCGTTCTTCTTGAAATCTTTGTCTGCAAGTGCCACCATTTTCCAGGAGCACAGTGCTAAATTGCTCTCGTGCTCCTTCAAAACATAGATCCCAGTAGTTGATCTTTGAATCCCTCAAAGCTGAGTCTTAAAGTGAGCTGGGAAGGATTTTGGGAGCCGTGTCGCTCCCAGTAGACTGACGCTGACCCTCGTCACAGGGGCCAGAGGTGAGAGTTCAGGTAGAAAGTGGACGGTTTTGGTTGAACATCTGGCCAGACGGGAGCAAAGGAGGTTTTGGAGATCAATGGACCGAGTGTTGTCTTGAGGACGGAGGTCACTGGAGAGTCCCAGCGGTACTGGAGCTACAAGCCTCACACGGCTCTCCTTCGTGACTTGATCTGAACCCTGCAGATTTTAAAGTAGAAAATTCTCGATGTGATAGACTGATTGCAAGGTATTGTAGGCCATTTTCTGTAGTTGAAGGAGGAAGGGCTTGTAGTGGTATTTTGTACATGTTTGTTCTGTTGTTGTGTATAGGATGCTCTGTCCACCGCGTCCGCGTGAAGCCGCCGCGTACGGCTTCGGACGGCGACGACAGCGTATGGAGGGACTGGGAATGCCTCACTCCATTAGACTTCCTGCTAAGGCAGTTTTCTTTTCTAAATATACTTCACCTGTGGGCTTGAAAAAAAAAAAAAGTGATGGATTAACTTGTTTGTCTCACTAATGATGGCTATGATAAATGCAAGTACACTTTACATGGGATAAGTTTTTCAGTCTGTCATGTCAGCCTCACTTTCTTATTTTGGTCACTTCCTGTCCAATTATGCTTTTAACTGTGCAGTGGAGATGGTTGCTCATGTCCCACAATGCATCTCTTACTGTGGATTCATGGGGAATGTCTTTCCACTCCCACCTTAAGACTTTTGCTCCTCATTTGTAATGCCACTGTATTTGTGTATTTTAAAATTGTGTAAATAAATTAATAAGTACTTGTATGCATTGTTTGTTTATTTTTTTAATTGACTGGACTATATCTGTAAATGAGGTTTTGTTTTGTTAAGATTTGCTTGAAGTGATGATTTTATATTGTTCTGAGGGAGGCACTTGAGGAAAAGTCATGATGGTTGGTCCTTCGGTGACTATAATCAGTTGTGAACTAGCGATTATGTTTATTTTCAATTAATCTGTTGGCTATTTAGTTTGTACGGAGCCCCAGAAGGGACATGAAGAAAGAAAAAAAAAAAACAGAGAGAAAAAAAAATAGAGATATCTTTTGCGAGATCTCACAAAACTTTGTTGGGATCTTGCAAAACTGTAGGTATTTATACTTCTTGGTCTTTTTGGCAGTATGGAGAAACAACAACGGAGGACACCCACCCGTATGAGAGCTTTATTTTGAAATCGGCCTAAAATAGCAAGACATTGAAGCAGTGCTTAGCAAGAGGCATAAGATTGATGTGACTTTTGCGAGATCCCGCATAAGATACCTCTATTTTTTCCTCTCCCTGTTCTTTTCTTTCTTCATGTCCCTTTCGGGGCTCCGTATGTTTTGGTCTATAAAATGTCAGGAAATGGTGAGAATTAGCCCACGATGATGTCCTCAAATGTCTTATTTTGTCTGCAACCTCAAGGTACTCGAATGAAAATAATTACATTTGCTGGAGTCAGAGAATTTAGACTTTTTGCTTTAAAAAAAAAATTACTCAAGTTGATTAAAAAAAACAGTTGATGATTAACTTTAAATTTGACCCATTAATACACAAGCAGGGCAGGTATCGTGCTCATCATGTAATCACACTTATATACTTTGGTTTATTACGAAATCAAGACAGCGCTAATAATATTCCCATTAGCATTAGCTGTCCTCTGACTTTAGTGCCACTTAGCAAATGACATAACATGATAAACTATGGAACATTTGGATTAAAAAAGAAAACAACTGAGGCAAAAAAAATGAATAAAAAAAGTAAATAATCCATTCTTGAAAACTGTTTAAACCCCAAAAAGGTGTAGCGTGAAGTAACAGCTGATTGTTTTGACTCTTTTTACAACATACATCCCAGTTAACACAAACTAATTTCAGTTTTTTTTTTAGTTTGTTAAATTATTGGGGGGGAATAATTGAACTTAAAGTGAGATTAATTTTCTTATTTCCTCGACAGCTGTCATCTCATTGCTGCTTTACATAAGCGTGTTAGCACGCTCATATTAGCATTCAGCTGAAAGCAAAGCTGTGACTAAGTAAAGCCTCAAAGAGTCGTCAACGTTCCTTAATCCTCATTCAGAGAGGATTAATATCACAAGAAGAGATGCTGAGAAACGCATGTAGCCTCCGTCACTGACGGCCTCAGCAGTTCTAGACAGCTCTGGGTGAATATTAAGATCCAGCACTAAATTATTGTGTTTTTAAATTGTTTTCTGTTGTTGTCAGTGCAGCTTTAACATCTAACAGTGGTCCATTACATTGAAGCTGTTGCAGCAGTGACACAGTCTAACCACCGGGTGATGCTGTCAAACAACCTGAGCTCCGGCACGCTGCAGCCAGGACGGTTACACAACAGGTCATGATGCTCCTCTCAGGAGGACGTGCAGAGATAAACGCATCCAGGATAAGAATAACCGCCACAACACAGACTCACGAACTGGTGAAAGAGAGGATACAAAGCAAAGTTAAAAAAAAAAGAACACCGGGGACATTAGGTGATACGGTGCTATGTGCTGTATCGAGCAAAAACTTGTGGGTGTGTTGTTATAGGAACAAGATGTGCTCATCCATTATCAAACGAGGCATCTGGAGTGCTATCCCAGGAGGAACGGCCTGTGTTAAAGGGGTGAGACGAGTGAGGCCGAACACACACACATATGCTCCCCGTCCGGGCGGAAAGTGGGGTAGGGGGAGCGTTGACGTCAGCGAACCACAATCTCTAGCCCACAGCAACAGCACTTTATTTATTCCCTTATTATTAACACTCTGTCGGTCAGGGCATCGCTGGAAAGAGCTGCAGCAAAACATCACACCTGAAGCAGTATCGCTCACCGTACGCTGATTGTTGTACAGAATTGCTGAAGCACAAAAGTGTCTGACCGTGTCATAAACAAGGAAACTGATGATGAGCTATTCAGGGGTATTTGCTCAAAGTGGAGGCAGTCCAGATGGAGCAATCACTACAACTGATGTTAACACAGGAAGACAACTGTCGATCAAGCAAAAAGGCCCAAAGCATGAAACCTTTTAAAGCTGCACTCCATCGATATTTTTCTAACTGATAATTTCTCGGGTTATTAAGTGTGGAGCGAAATGGGAGAGAAGCTCACTCTGGATTAAGATTTTTCAGCTTGACGGAGTGTTTTAGCCTCGTTGAGGCATTTATTTTGGTTTTCTGGTGCTCTCATCTACAATCAAGAAGCAGCAGTTTCTGTTTTCATAAAGCGATAAGTCGGTGTTTGGCTGCAGCTTCTTCAGGTGACATAAAATACTGCAGCTTTAAAACAGGTGTGAGATTAAATTCTTTATGGTTTCGACTGAAGCACGTCAAAGATCTAGTTTTTTTCTCTTTATAGAAGTTCTCCATAATCTGCTCTTTTTTGTTTTCATTTGTCAGTATAGTTCGACGTCTGTACTATTTTCCGAATCAGAAAGCTTTTTATTGCCAAGTGAGCTCACACACAAGGAATTTGGCGTGGTGAGTGAAACGGTGGCACACAACAATAACAAGACAGGCAATAAATATAGAAATCTAAATAAAATATATGTGAAAGAAAAGTGTAAAAGTACTACGTAAATTAAAAGTGCTGTACTTAGCACAGAGTGAGCACTGTCGCGTTTTTGTGTCAATATAATGGTGTCATCATCAAAAAAATAAATTAACCCAAAAATAATTAACCCATCGTCTTGTGAAGGTTTAGAGAACAGTGATGCCAGATGGTTCTTTTCACATCCAACAGTTATTGGTGCCCATCTGATGAATGTAGGCACAGTTTTTGTCTAGTCCAGGGGTCTCAGACTCAACTTACCTGGGGGCTGCTGGAGACAGAGTCTGGGTGAGGCTGGGAAGTAACCCGCAAAAAAAAGTGTTTCAAGTATTCCAGGAAAAGTACAACTGATCCAGTCTTCTCCATCTTTGTTAATAACAATTCAGAACATGAAAGGTTCTTCAGAACACAGGCTTCTCTTACCTGCTCCTTGCTGCCAGAGACCTGGCAGCACTTCCTCTTACAATCTAAGACACAAGCGATGTCATCAGAAGTTTGATGTGTAGACACAACAAATTTAGAGCATAAAAATCCTGCATTTTAAACCAAAGGCACACAGTTTGTGAGATGTAGGTATTTGTAATTTAACCCTCCTGTTATCTTTGGGAGCAATTTGACCCCATTCAGTGTTTAACATCTCGACATAAGTGATTGACATAATTTTTTTCAGCTTCATTTAAAGGGCTATTTACACATAAACTTGGGTAACAATTTTAATTCTGATAATTTTCTGAAGGTTTAAAATTGCTGCAAGATTGAAAGATGTTGACGTTTCTTGAAATATTACACTTATTGTACATTTTGTATTTCATATTTTCTTATTGTTTATTTTTTTGTTATTGTTACATTTCGCATTTTATATTTTGTTGTTGTTTATTTTGGCCTATTTATTGGTATTTGTGGTGGTGGTAACTCTGTCCTGTGCCGTAACAACCAAATTTCCCATTGGGGATTAATACAGTATTTCTTTCTATCTATCTATCTATCTATCTATCTATCTATCTATCTATCTATCTATCTATCTATCTATCTATCTATCTATCTATCTATCTATCTATCTTCTTGGTAAATTTGAAGGTAATAGGGTTAATACAGGACTAAGGTTTCGACATCCCGTCCACGCCATCATTCAGTGTTACCACGGAAACAAAGGCCTCAGTCAAGAGTTAGCTTGGGGTTTAGATGGATAATCTTTTTCGGCCAGGTCTTTATATTTGTGAAACCGTCCCACTTGCATGAACATTATCTAAGAGGAAAGAACACAAGCTCATATAATAGAAATATAATGATCTCTCAGTACTCTGGCTGCAGCAAATTGCATCAACTGGAGTCTTTTTGAGGATGTTGATGGAACATCTTGCTAATTTTACATCATACTGGTCCACCTTGAATGTAACAAATCCATGGACTAGCTTTTGAAAATAAAACAGTTTGCACACAAGTCCCCTACTGTACACAACTAAAGACCTGGTGCAGTCGATCCCTCTGACTAATAGTTATCTGGCGACATCATCAAAAATATGGCACATATACTGTATATAAAGATGGACAAATCCTCCATGACGTCACCCCTAGGTTTCCTGAAAAGCGGTTTTGAAGGTCAGTCTGACTCATCCTGATTCTCGACCGATTCAATGAGCGACGAGGTGGAGTGAGACGGGAGTCATCGTTCGACTCAGCGGCCACGCCCTGACTTACGCACAACTTTAAGCCTCAGTGCAATTAAAATGAATGAGTTACATAAAAATTCACCTCCACGCAGTTGTCACAGACAAGTAAACTGGGTTAAGAAACCAAAACTGAGAACAAGTTTATTTCCCCTGCAAAGCTGGCCAATTTGACATGAGGCTCAATGGGAACTGACTCACTTTTGGAGTCAGCCTCATGTGGTCATTTGAGGAACTGCAGTTTTGACAAGTTGCTGCTTGATACCACATCCATTGCAGCTTCATATTTAGAGCTTTTTATTGAGTTACATAAAAAATAACCTCCATACAATTGTCACGAACAGGGAAATTGAGTATCCATCCATCCATTATCTATACACCGCCTACTTTTCACTTGTGTTGCGGGGGTGTGGAGTCTATCCCAGCTGGCTCAGGGTGAAGGCAGAGGACACCCTGGACAGGTCGCCAGTCTATCACAGGGCTACACTTAGAGACAAGCAACCAAGCACACTCACATTCACACCTATGGACAATGTAGAATCACCAATTAACCTCAACATGTCTTTGGACTGTGG